GGTGAGGCGAGGAGCGTGCGCGCGCGCTGTGATCGCGGCGGTGCCGGTCTCCCGCCCCCACCCCGGTCCGCAGGCGCTGAGAGGCGGCCCCATCTGCTCCGCCGCCGAGTCGCCGGCCGCGTGTCCTCAGTGCGCGGAAACCAGAGCGAACGCAGGAGGGCCGCGCCGCTGGGTGGTGGCCTGCGGAGGGCCGCCGCGGCTGCACGCCAGGAGCTCCGCACAGGGCAGGCCCGCCCGCCGCCCGCCCCGCCGCCCCTCACCGGCTGGTCTCGCCGTCCGGCCCCGGCTCCGCGCGCCGCCGCCCGGTGTTCCGCAGAACCATCGCGCCGCGCCCAGGCCGCCGCCGCTCTCCGGGAGAAACTTGGCGCGCTCCCACCAACTCTCGCGAGAGGAGAGAGCGGAGGCGCCCGCCGCCCAATCGGGAGGCTCGCCGCGCCCCGCCCCACCGAGCCCCTATTGCCGCGGGCGCCGGAGGGGAGGTGGCCCGGGAGGGACTCGGGCAAAAGTGTGCGGACGCGCGGGCCGCGCACGGCGGGGTCCGTCCGGGGCCGCGCTGCGGGCCGCGGCGGGGCGGGAAATGGGAGGCCATCCCCGAGCCCGGCGGGCGTGAGGCGGGGTCGGGGGCGCGCGCGGGCGCGGTGCCGCGGAGGCGATGGCGCCGGCGGCGTCGAAGCTGCGGGCCGGGGCCGGGGCCGGGCTCGGGGCGCTGCCGCAGCGGGCGCTCGCCCAGTACCTGCGCCTCCTGCGGCTCTACCCGGTGCTCACCAAGGCGGCCACCAGGTCGGCGCGGAGGGGTCGGGCCCGGGCGGGGGGCGGCCCGGAGCTCGGCCGGCCTCGGGGACGCAGCCCCGTCGACGCGTTCTGCGCGGGGATTTGAGTGCGAAAGGCAGGGTGCCGCGGGCCAGACGACCCCCCGCGCCTTGCGCCAGCCGGAGAGCGCGGCGTGGGCGGCTTTGTGCGTTCGGTGCTGACAGGTCGTTGCCAGGGAGCCAGACCAAAGCAATGCACCGCCCGCGGGCGTCGGGCCCCCTTCCCTGGAGGCCCTCTCCCGAAGGTGCGTGGGTTCGGGCCGGAGGTCCACGGCCGGCCCACCTCCCTCTGGCGGCCGCAGCGACGGCCCGTTGGCGCCTGCGCTCGTTCCGAGTTGGGGGCGTTCGGGTCCGTGCCTCGAGCGGCACCCGCGGCCGGGGCGGGGCGGCGCGTGTTTGCTCTCTTTGTCGTAGCAGCTTTGCATTTGGGGGAAAGGGGACAAAAGGCCCCTCTGCCCGGGTCTGCTGGTCCGTTGCACCCTTTGATTTGGGGTCCTAAACTTTTTATGAGACGTCGTTCTCCCTCGTTAGCTTTAATCAGTTAATTTTATAAGTTCATCCCGTCTTACTAAGTGCAGCCTTTCATAAATACGCACAGCATGCTTCCGGGGAGTGAAGCACCAGCATTAAGATGGGAAGGGAAGGTCCCTACCTCAGTGGGCTTTCTATTCTAGTGAGAAACTAGACAAAAAGCGAGATAAACAGGGAGGTCAGGGAGGTGTTCTCTGAGGAGGTGACGTTGGAACAGAGACCTGAAGGAGGGAAAGCAAAAGCTCTCTGGGCAGAGGGTACCCAGTGCAAAGGTCCTGAGGGAGGAGCAAGCTAACAGTGGAGCAGTGGAAAGAAGGTCTGTGTTGCAGCAGAAAATGAACAGTGAGGAAGGGACCAGATGAGAAGGAGGTGGCCAAGGATCAGATCAAGAAGGTCCTTATCAGCCATACAAAGAATTTTGGACTTTTTAGCACACAGAGCTTATCAGAAGGTAACTATAGACCAAAGCTTGGAGCACCTGGGCCCATCTCCACCTTTCTACTGAAATTTATATTGTAATTGTAGGTTTACATGCGGTTGTAAGAAATAATACAGGGCGATCCCTTGTACACTTTGCCCAGTCCCCCCCACCGGTAACGTTTCGTAAGCCTGTAGTGCATACCTCACCCAGGACACTGGCAGGCGCAGTCCACAGACCAGGGGTGTGTGTGTGTCTGTCCGTCTGTGTGTGAAGTCCTACTGTCTCCACCTTTTGATGTAGGAACCTTATACCAGGGCTGCTTTAGAAAGGACTCATTTCTCCCCATCCCACGCTGCTCTCCGCACAGCCGTGCCGATTACATACAGGAACGGGCCACCCTCCTGCTGCTTTCTCCTGTTCTCTGATTACCTCTCTGTCCACAGTGGCGTTTTGTCGGCACTTGGGAACTTCCTGGCCCAGTTGATTGTGAAGAAGCGAGAAAAAGAAAACTCCCAAAAGCTAGATGTCATTGGGCCTCTCAGATATGCCATTTACGGGTGAGTTCGTTAAGGGGCTGGTCTACCCAGTAGCAGACTGATTGCAACAAAGCGAGGGGATAAGACCAAGTTTCTGAAATAATCTAATTTGGAGGAATAATTTTTTTTTTTTAAGATTTATTTGACAGAGACAGCGAGAGCGGGAACACAAGCAGGGGGAGTGGGAGAAGAAGCAGGCTTCCCGTGGAGCAGGGAGCCCGACGAGGGGCTCGATCCCAGGAGCCTGGGATCATGACCTGAGCCAAAGGCAGACGCTCAACGACTGAGCCACCCAGGCGCCCCTTGCTGCTAGTTTTTTCTCCCCTTCTTCCTTGCCTTCTTTTTGATTAATCAAGCATTTTATTTACATTTTTTTTTAAGATTTTATTTGTCAGAGAGAGGGAGAGTGCACAAGCAGGGGAAGCAGCAGAGGGAGAAGCAGGCTTCCCGCGGAGCAGGGAGCCCCATGCAGGGCTCGATCCCGGGACCCTGGGATCATGACCTGAGCCAAAGGCATCTATGCTTAACGACTGAGCCACCCAGGCGCCCCTGGAGAAATAATTTTTAAAAAGGCATTGAAGTAATCATGGGAAAAATCAGAATGGTGGATAATGTGAACTTGTCTTATGGTTTTCCTTTTGAATTGTTTGGGTGGGGTGGCTGTCTTCATTGGGCTGAGAGATCTGAGGGCAGATAATTCACCTAAACCTAAGTTAGCCTTCAAAACACAAAGACCATGAAAGAGGAAAACAGACTCAAATATGGTCAGTTGTTTCCGTTATTTTCATAGTGTAAGCATCCAGAAAATAAATACTTAGGTATCCTGAAAAGTGTCCAGTTTCTTAACCATTTTTGGAATTGCAAAGACCACAGAGATTCAGTTTTACCAATTAAGTCTTCCCTGAGTTCTCTGGCCAACAATAGCGTTTGTATAGATGGATTGTTTTGAAGTCTTTTGGAACAAGAGTCATTTTTTCAATTTAAAATTCAGAAATATCACTTTGTATTTGTAAGCATGTTGGTCGCGTAGTGTAGTTAAAGCCATAATCACCCTGGAGGCGGGGAGGGAGTGTGTCAGAATCCCCTGGGAAGCGTTACTCACAGTTTCCATCTTCAAGACTTCTGTTCCCTCTCAAGGCCCCTCTAGCTCGGTCAGTAGAGCATGCAACTCTTGATCTTGGGGTCTTGAGCTCGAGCCCCACGTTGGTTGGAGAGATCACTAAAGAATAAATAAAGTTAAGACTCTGTTCCCTCTCACTAAGGACCCCTGCTCTAGGCCACTTAACCTGTGGAAGAATAGGAAGCAACAGCTGAGAACCACTTGTGTAAGGACTTCCAGTGTGAAAAATTGGAAGAGCCCTGGGTCCCTGCCCATCTTTTTGCTGCTGAATTTTACAGAGCTACGGGTCTGTTGTACCAGTAGATGCAGTGGCTGTGTTCAGTTCTGTCCCAAGTACTCTACCCTTGGGAACGCATAGTGTCAGTACAGACAAGGAGTGCACGGCACCAGGTTTCACTCTTGCTAACTACCCAAGGGGGTTTGATGAAAAGCTCTGACACCAGGGATGCATCCACTTATTTATCCTTGAGCACCTTCTCTGAGCCAGGCCATGTTCTAGGCACTGTGGACACAGCAGTGAACAGACAGGCACAGTGCTGTCCTGGGACGTTTACCTCTCTTCAGCAAAGACGGTACCGTATGACTAAACAGATGAGATCATGACATATGGTGACGCAGGCCATGAAGACAGTGAGACAGGACCTGGACTAGAGAGTGGCCGGGACAATGGTGGGTTCATTGTCCAGAACAATCATGAACAAAGTCTCCCAGCTGACAGTGTTGAAAAGGAGCTGGCCACATGGAAATTGATGGGAGATCCAAGGCAGGTCTATCAGAGACAAAAAGAACGCTTGAAGCAGATTCAAAGAAAGCCTGTTTTCTAGAAGGACCACACAGACCTGTGTGGTCAGTGATGGGAGGCTCCAGGGAGGCAGGGTTTAGGACTTGGGGTTTGGGGGTGAAGCTGGACCCAAGAAGGGCACACCCAGAGAATGGCAGTCCTGCTCACCCCCACCGCGGGTCCTCAGGTTCTTCTTCACAGGGCCACTGAGTCACTTCTTCTACCTCTTCATGGAGCACTGGATCCCTTCCGAGGTCCCCTTGGCTGGGGTCAAGAGGCTCCTCCTGGACCGCCTCCTCTTTGCACCGGCCTTCCTGTTGTTGTTCTTCCTCACCATGAACTTCCTGGAGGTTGGTCTCTGCCATAGCTCTTTGTTTGGCACAGCGGTTCTCATCCTGGCATCTGTGGGTGGAAATCAGAGGGCCTGTGAACTTTGCAGTACACTCAAATTGAAATTCCTCACTTTCCTCCATGAACGTCAGACACAAACCACGGTTACATTGGCAGTACCTGTTGGTCCACAGTAAGAAGTCACAGATATCTTGGTATCATACATCATTTGTTACAGACAGAATATCTTTTTATGTTTCATGACCCCTTCCACCTGCCTCAAGTCTTGTCACTGTGTCAGTAAGCAAGCACATCTACTCATCTATCCTAAGATTCTTTTCCTGAATATTTTGAAAGGTGTATTTTCAGTATAGGTGGTTCCTTGGTAATCCCACATATTTTATTTTATACAAACAGGATTCTGAGAAGGGGGTCCATGGGATTCATGAAACAAGTTTCAGACCCCCGATGGCATTGCAGAACCCTGTGCTAACTCAATCCTGAACATCATAAGTGCTCTGAAGAGGTTAACAGGTCAGCATAGATTTAAACCACCACAACCACTACATGAGAGGTGTGTTCATGCAGAGTCACCAGGCATGTCTGTTGGTTGTGCCCAGCCCAGTCCCTTCCCAGTTCACCTCTACCCCCTCCCCAACTCTCCATCCACTGTGTGCCCAAGATGTGTCATGTTCTGCCCTGAAAGTAATTGTCCCAACCAATCACAGCAGGTAAATCCTTCTCCTTCAGGTTTTATTTTGAAGCAGCATCTTGAGTTCTGGTTCCTGAGGAGAACACCCCTTGTGGTCTAAAGTGTTCGGGGGGGGCAGGCAGGAAAGATGCTTCAACTTAACTGGTTAGTAATAAGTCCCTGAAAGTAAAAAGAGGTGTTGGGCAAGCCCTTAGGAAATCTGAGGTAGGAGGAAGCAAAGGGCACCCACATCCCTTTTTATCCTTCCAAATATGAAAGGAATGTATGTTCATTAAAAGATGAAAACTCTGAATATATATGTGACCAAAGTGTGTAAGGTACCCAACACACAAATGATCTATGTGGGACCACATTATACCACACACACTATAGATGCTTCTGCATCTGCATTTAAATTTTTAAATTTGAATGTAGTTGACACAACGTCATGTTAGTTTGAGGTCTACAGCGCAGTGATTCAGCTTCTCTATCCTCCATGCTCACCGCAAGTATCACCACACAACTCTAATTATAATATCATGGACTCAATTCCCTACGCTGTGCCAATGTCCAGCGTTTTTTTGATCATAGATAATCACGTTTGGACTGCATGGTATTCCACCGTATGCCTGTCCCTTTTGTGTAAGGGTTCCTGTTTGGTTAATTCCTAGAATTGTCCAAAAAGGCTGTCCTTGCTTGTTCTTCCTACAGGGCTATAGAATAGTACAAACTGCTGACATTTTTTGAGCACTTGTTCCAAGCTCTGCATTGAGTCCTTTGGGTCATTTGAGCCACAAGTCAACCCCATTTTTGAGGAAGCTCAGGCCCACGGCTTGAGTTCCCATAACTTGCGAGACCGTGAGTCCTGTCAGAACCAGACTTTGTGACCCCAGAGCACCCAACCCTCGCAGATTGGTCCTCTGGGCGAGGTTTGTTTCCCCACACTCTTGACAACCAGGATTGTATTTTTCTTTTAAATAGTTTGCAATTTGATACATAAAAAATAACGTATACATATTTATGAAGTTGAACATCTTTTTATATGCTTACTGTATTAACTGCTTATTTTCTATCAGTGTTTGCTTTTTTTCTCACTGATTGTATATTTGTATATATTAAGGACATCAATCCTTTGCCAAATACAGACTGCAGATATTTTTCCCATTTTTCAGGTTTTTGTCTTTTAACTGCAGATAAAGTTAAACCTTTGAAGTTATATAAATAAAGTTTATTTATAGTGTGTTTCTCCATACAGGAGTTAAAAAATTTATGTATTCAAATCTGTCAGTCTTTTCCTTTGTGGGCTTCCTTCAAGGAAGATACTGGGAATATTCTTCTTTACTTTATTCTTTTATGATTTTATTATGTACATTTTGACAAACACAAAGATAGTGGAAATATTCTATATTTTTGTCTAGTATTCTTATTTTTTTATTCATGTGTGGGAGATAATACTTTTGTTTCTTTTCACTTAAATAGCAAATTGTCTTGTTAGCGTTTATTGAACAATCCCCCCGTACTTTGAAATGTCCGCTTTATCATGCTCTCATTCCCGTATGTGCAAGCCTTTATCTGGACTCTCTGATCTTTTGCTGGATTCTATTAATTTCCATTGTATGTCTTTTCTTTTTTAGCTTTTAATTACCATCATTTCATAGTATTTTTTTAAGTCTTTAGTAATTTAGGCCACCTCTTGCTATTCTTTTTCAAGATGGCTATTCTTGTGCATTTATCCTCTCAGATGACATTTAGAATCAATTTATTGGGGTTCATTTTTTAAAAACTTCAAGTTCTGCTTGAAAATGCATCCATTTTGGAGATTATTTTGGGCAGAACTGACAGCCGAGGCATACATAGCCGTTCTGGTGCCCCTGGCCAACAGCATGAATCCCACCGTTCAGTCAGCTCTGCACAGAATGATGAAGGTCCGTGAGGGCCCTGGGCACAGTGAGAGCAAGTGGGCTGCCTCACTGCTGATGACTTCCCAACCGGGTGGTTGGCTCCTTAGAGCTGCAGCGCTAATTAGGCACACAGGTGTGCTGTCTACATACAAATGGAACAAAATCCACAGTTTATTTTTTATTTTATTTTAAAGTTTTTATTCATTTGACAGAGAGAGACACAGTGAGAGAGGGAACACAAGCAGGGGGAGCGGGAGAGGGAGAAGCAAGCTTCCTGCGGAGCAGGGAGCCCGATACGGGGCTCAATCCCAGGACCCTGAGACAATGACCTGAGCCGAAGGCAGACGTTTAACCCACTGAGCCACCCAGGCGCCCCCAAAATCCACAGTTTTAAAAACCATCATGTTAGGGTTTGGAGACTTGCAGACCTTGGCACCCCAGCTTCGGTTCTGAGGACAGTGGCAACTGCTCAACATCCACACTCCCCTCCTTTCCAGGGGAGAGACGCAGCTGCGGTTGCTGTCCAGATAAGGAGAAGCTTCTGGCCGGCGCTGCGTGTGAACTGGCAAGTCTGGACCCCGGCGCAGTTTGTCAACATCAACTATGTCCCTTTGCAGGTGAGGGCCAGCCGGCACCATGCAGAACCAGAGGGGGCATCATCTTCCACCAGCCTTGTTTTAGCTGGGACTGATCGGCGGTTTTCTCTCTGCCCAGAATCAGTAGCAGTTCTGGATTTGGACAGATAAAGCAGGTGTCCACACCTCATCCACTGGTCCCAGAAATGTTTCTGAAAAGCCCCCAGTCCAGGAGCAGCTTGGATTTTCCAGGGGTGCAGTATTGCCAGTGCCTGGCCTTGCGGGTCACAGTCAAAAGTGCACGCAGGTGCCAAGCAGTGCCAGTGCCCAACAGGATGTGCAGGGGAGGCATGGGCAGCCTAACCTGCAGTGAGGTCAGCGCACACCCGAGGAGCAGGCAGACGGTGGGACCTGGGGTGGGGCAGCCCTTGAGGTGCCACACACATGAGGTTCAGCACTTCCGGGCACCAGGAGGGGTCGCAGTCTGAGGTGGGCTGCTGAAACTGCCCCGCGCAGCCCCACCTCCTGTTCTGAGCAAGGTGGGAGCCTGGAGGGGCTCTAAGCTGCAGGAACAGCTCACTGGGGCAAGGCTGAGGGGCCCCGCCATTGTGCACTGCCTTTACACACCATGGACAGCTCGTGTGTCCAGCCCCAAGAGCATACACAAGGTTGGAGATGCTAGAAGGGTTTGGCACATATGTGTGCTCATGGCCTGGGTTTATTACAGCCTCGAAGCAAGGATATACAACTGGATCCTAGGAATCCATGCAGGCTTCCTGTGCTCCCTCCCTCCCATGAGGGTCACACAGAGCAAGCGCTCACCAAAAGAGCTTTGGTACCACCAAATGCAACATGTAGGCCAGTTTCTGCCCAGGGAAGCCCTGTAAAGACGCAGCACCTAGGGTTTTTTGGGAGGGCTGGTCACGTAGGCATCCTGTGCCTGGCACACACCAGAATTCCAGACTCCCAGGAGAGCAAGTGCTCAGCATGAACCGTGTTATTTTAGCAAGTAGTCGAGGCCTAGGGAGCCATTCTTATCAGTTGGGGAAAGGTGGGAACCCTCAGGAACTCTTAAGTACCCAGGCCCCAAGGAAGGGCTAGCCTCTCAAACAGGCCTTTCCAAGGACTGCAACCTTACGCTTTTTTTGCACACCATTTAAGTAACCTACTTGTTTTCACCCATGCTCTAGAGAGGAGAGACCTGGGCAGAATTCCCTTGAGCTGCAGCTCCACTGGAAGGCTGGGAAGAGGGAGGGAGGTGCAGGCTGGGTGGTCACACACACACACACACACACACACACACCAAGGAGTAGCAGAAAACCAGCAGGCAGTGACACACAACCACAGTATTGCAGGGTTAAAGCAAAATGGGAATCAGTTTCATTGGTTTTAACAACGATCTTATCAGTGATGTTCCCAAGAGCAATTTCAGCTCCATGAGGGCTAAAGCCAAACTGCTGTGAATTAAGTAGTGGATGAAGTAGAAATCGTAAGTCTGCAAAATTCTCTCAAGAAGTTTGTGAAGAGGTGGGGAGAAATGGGAATGGGCGTTGAAGCGAAGAGAGGCCATATGCTACCCTAAAGAGGGGGGCATGGGTTAGGGCAGAGGCAGAGAGGGGCTTTAGACAGAGGCCCTTCTTTACTGAGACAGGAGAGAGGTGCCTGTTCACTGGGGATGCCTGTGCACACCTCTTTCCTCTGGGAGGGCAGAGGGCAGGGCCAGACTAAGGGGAGAGGAGGTGAGATGGGTATCTTGAGCGGAGTAAAGGCAGGGTGAACTTGTAGAGAATGAGAGAGAGAGCTGACTGGAGACCCTCCTGTGCATGGGCACAGGGCCCCGGGAAGCAGGGAGGATGGAGGTTTTCCAGGGAGGACAACTAAGGAACAAGAGGGGAAGGCAATGAGGGCTCTGAGCCATGGATCCTAAGGTATTTAGAAAAGGAAATAAAGATATGGAAAGGCAGAATGGCTGAGGATGTGAAGGGATCTACGGATGGGAGAGTGGGAGAGCCTGGAAAATGGGACCCTCCGGGGCAGCCTAGGGACAGAAAGCTGGGAGGCTGTGATTAGTTTCCATTTTAGGTGGTTGCAGGTGAGTGCTTAAGGGGCAGTGGAGTTTATTAAACACATATTTGCTGAGCACCTGCTGTATGCCCCACTGCTCTAAACTCTAGGGATACAGTGACTAACAAGGTAGAACAGACTGCTGCTTTCATGGGGCGTATGTGTCAGGGAGACTCACTGACGAAGGGTAATTTCAGGTGGGAGTACCTCCATCAGATCATCAAAGCAGGGTCATGGCCTGGGCTGGCGGGGTATCACCGGTGGGCTTGGTGAAGCCGCCACGTGATGTCCAGTCCTGGGGTGAGAAGCTGAGCCAGGAGCGAGTGCTCAGGGCAGGAGGGTGCAGGACAGTTACTGTGTGGCCTGTAACACCGCTAGGCACAGACTGTCCGGCTCAGCCCTCTAGCACAGGGCTTTGTGTGAAGTGAAGGCTCAGTGAATACAGTCGTGGGTGGACGGACTGACCAACGAACGGGCTCTGTCCTGGGGGATCGGTGATGGGTCGACACGGCCAGGGCCTCACTGTGGCCTGTGTTCTCTTGGCAGTTCCGAGTGCTTTTTGCCAACCTGGTGTCTCTGTTCTGGTACATCTACCTGGCCTCTCTGGGCCAGTGAAGAGGACCTGGAGCGAATGCAGACACACTGCCCGCGCGGGTCTAGGGACCACCTGCGTAGGGCGAGGGAGCAGAAGCAACCTAGTCGGGACTGTCTGACTGCACATCATGGGATTGAGGATGGAGAAACGAATCTTTTACCTAAGAACCTTGTGTTTTAAAAAGGCAGTAACTGTCTCCAGGTGATGCCGCCTTAGAGTCACAGAATACAGTAGTGTTGACTTCACTTGTCACCTTGGATTGAATTAGGACAGCAATAAACTATAACGTAGCTTCTTCTGTGGTGATTTTAATTTTTCAGAACAATTGTGTCACTTTGGTAGAAATGGGTGGCCAGAGGGCTGCCCTGATTTTTTTTTTAACTAAAAAAAAAAACTGTGGTAAAATCTGTGATACCGTTGCCTGCCTGCATGGAGCCGCTGGAGAGGGGCCCTCGCGGAGCGGGACTCTGCCCTGACACTGGGAAGCCCCGCGACAAGTGTGTGTGCCCCCCTTTCAGCTGACTTTTTTCTGCCCTCGCTGTTCCTCCTCACCCTTTCTCGCTCTCAGCATCCCGTTCTTGTTTCATGGATACAGGAGACCCTTGGATCTTAATTTATTTTTATATGCTGTTTCTATTTTCTCAGGGTTCATGGGGATTTTTTTTCCATTTGTTTTGCTGTTTTTCCCAATCAGGATTTCCCCCAAAGCCTGCTGATTGTGCATCAGTCTTTAGGAGTTGGAGCCACTCGGGCAGTACCCTGACTGTGGGCTGACAAGGCAGGGACCCAGTTTTGTGGGAGATCACCCGTTTTCGGTAACTGAGGCCTTTTCTCTTAGACTGGCCGTTTCCCTGGAGAGGAATTCTTTAATTTCTTGCCCGGGGAAGGGTCGTGAGATTTTTAAAAATGTAAGTCAGATTATGTCAACTGCTAACTTAACGACCTTCCAAGATGACCCAGCACTTCCACGTCTGGGCTCACACCCCCAAAGCTGAAGGGCCTCAGGAGATACTTGCACCCCTACGTTCAGAGCGTTACCCGCAGCAGCCAAAAGGTGGAAGCAACCACGTGTCCGCCGGCGGACGGACAGAGGCCCACGCCTCGGCCTTGAGGAGGGCACTGCGACGGGCTACACGCCCATGAGCCCGGAGGACGCCAGGCTAAGGGGCAGGAAGGAGCCCGTGCTGTTGTACTCACGTGAGGTCCCCAGAACTGTCACGGTCAGGGGGACCGGAGGGAATGGCGGGCGCCAGAGGCTGGGGGTGCAAACGGGGTCGGCGTTTAACGGGGACAGTGTCGCTCTGGGAAGACGAGCAAGGTCCGGCGCGGCGGCGGCACGGCTGCGGGTGTTCACCGCCACAGAAGCACACGCTTACAGCGGCTTAAGGCGGGGGCGCCCGGGCGGCTCGGGTCGCGCCGCCGCGGTCCTGCGCTCTCAGCCTCAGGCCAGGGCTGCTCCCCGTGCCCCCGCGGTCTGGCGCGCTGCCGCACCGCGGGCCCGGGGCACAAGCACGCGCGCTGCGCTCACACGCGCCGGGGCCCCGGCCCTCTCCCCCCGCGCGCGCACGCCCCGCCGCCCCGCGCCGCCGGCTCAGGCGCTCCCGCTGTGCCCCGGGAGGCGGCCCCACGCCGCGGGCGCCGCGCCAGCGCTCGCCGCTGGAAGGCGGGACTGGCGTGCCCCGGGGCCTCCCGCACAGGGCCCGGGGCAGCGGCCTCCAGACGGTCGCCGCCACGCCTCTTCCACGGCGTGTTCCCGGAAACTGTGTGCGCCCGGCCCGGGGGCGGGACTTCCGCCCCCGCTCCGCCCGCGGCCGGAAGCGGGCGCCTGGGGCCTCGTGTCCCTCGCGACGCGCCGTCCACTCCTGAGCGCCTGCGCGGGGCCGGCGCGCCGCCCACCCCTGAGCGCCTGCGCGGGGCCGGCGCGGGACGGGCGGGCATGGCGTTCCGGCAGGCGCTGCAGCTGGCGGCGTGCGGCCTGGCGGGGGGCTCGGCCGCCGTCCTCTTCTCGGCCGTAGCGGTGGGGAAGCCCCGCGCGGGCGGGGACGCCGAGCCGCGTGTGGTCGAGGCGCCGGCGTGGGCGGGGGCCGCTCGCCCCGGGCCGGGCGTCTGGGACCCCAACTGGGACAGGTGCGGGGCCGGCGGGCGGCGGCGGGCGCGCGGACCGCCGGGCGCTGGGGACCCTCCCGGGCCCCTGGCCCACCTTTCTGTTCTACGCGCTCGCTTCCGCAGAGGGGCCGGCGGGGCAGGCTCGCGGGCGCGTTTGTCTTCCGGAGGTGGCCGCGAGGCTGGCTGTGATCGGGGCGCCCGCGACCCCTCTTCCGAGCCCCGGCCGCCTCGCCTGTCCCCGAGGGTCGTTGGGAGGAAGGAGGACCGTGGTGCCTGGGACAGCGCCTGGCGGGCGGGGCAGTCCGAGGTGGCCGCTTTCGGGCCTGGGCAGAGGGTCGGACCCGCCTGTAGGCTGCCAGCCCGGGTTCCCTCGCTCAGCTTGGGAGCGTCCGGCTTGGACGGGGGCGTCCTGACCCCATCTTTGCCTGACAGCTGAGAGAAGGGTGGATGGGGGCCGGAGGGTGACGGCCCGGTCTTTAAAGGGAACTCTGCCGGGAAGATGGGCAAGGACATGGCTAGACGTCTTGAATGGGAACGGAAGCCTCCAGGTCTTGGGTCGCTGCGCGGCCACAAGCCACACGTGCTTATTGAGCACTTGAAAAGTGGCACCTGTGATCAGGAAACGTTCTTTAGTGTTATTCGATGTTAATGAACTTAAATCTAAAAACCAAAGCAGTGCAGATTTTTTTATATTTATGTGTGGCAGTGATAGTATTGTTGATACGTTGGATTAAATAAAGTGAATTTTTGAAATTTCACCTGTTCTTTCTAGTTCTTAAATGTAGCTTCTTGGAAGTTTTGAAGTACATATGTTGCCAGTGTTGTGTTTCTGTTGGACAGCACTGCTCTGGAGTCTGGGAGTGGCCCTTGTGGGTGGTTTATCCGATCCCAGCTCGCCCTCCCTACTTTACTCTGAATGAGGGGCACAGAATTTCCTGGCAGCCTAGTTGTATCAGGAACTTCATAGGTATTCTTTGGTTTTTGTTTTTGTTTTTAAGATTTATTTATTTGACAGAGAGAACACAAGCAGGGGGCACAGTAGAGAGAGAGAGGAGCAGGCTCCCGCTGAGCAGGGACCCCGATCCCTGGGCTCAATCCCAGGACCCCGATATCATGACCTGAGCCGGAGGCAGACACTCAACCATCTGAGCCACCCAGGCGCCCCTGGTATTCTTTGTTTTAAATCTTTAATTAAAAAAAAAAAATCTTCGAACCATTTTAGATTTATACAAAAATTGGCAAGATAAGAGTTCTTATATACTCTACCCCTGATTTACTCTACTAACATCTTGTAATGCTAGTATGGTGTAATGGTCACAATCAGTGGACTAATATCTGTATGTTATTATTGACTGACATTCATGCTTTTTTGAGATTTCCTCAGTTTTCAGCTGTTGTCTGTTGTCTCTTCCAGGATCCCACATGACAATTAGTCATGTGTCCTCAGGCTTCTCTTGGGTGTGACAGTTTCTCAGACTTCCTTGTTTTGATGACCTTGACATCAAAACTGATGACAGTTTTGAGGAGTGGTAATCAGGAATTTTATAGTATGCCCATCAATTGGGATTTGTCTGTTTTTCTCATGATTCAACCAGGGTCGTAGTCTCTTTTTGAAACGTCAGTACAGTCTTCTGAATTTCTTAGTTTTTTTTTTAAGGAAACATTCACTGTGAGATTAAAGGACTTATTTGAAGCAGCACTGGACTCTAGCTGTATTGGTTGAAACTGACATACTGTATTTGCTCGCCAAGTCTAGGTTTATGAAGGGGGAGGCTGGCTGTGCTGGAAAGTTCTAGAGCCTCAGCTGGTGAAATGTCCAGCCTCTTCCTGGAGAACCTCATCCAGTCTGGGCTTTCTGTGTCTGTGCCTGTAGTGCCCAGATGTCTTCTCGGGCCCAGCCCTGGGCTCCGGTGTGGCTTCTCAGCCTGTTTGTATTAGGGCACCCCAGGTTCGCCCAGCAGGACCCCTGAGTTGCCACTGTTCCCCTCAAAACTTACCTTGTCACAACTTTGTCCCAGCTGAGGACAGTCTTTTCCTAGCTCTGCCCATACCACAGACCGTTAGCTTTTATTAATTTCAGTTCTGGGAGCCACCAGACATGCCTGTCTTCAATGAAGATTTGGCTGTTTCTCAGCATGTGGCTGCTGGTGCCCCCCACGGCCTCACCCCCCACTGCTCCCTCAGCTCCTCCTCAACCTTCCAGGAGTGCCATCCAGTAGACATTCCAAATGTGCATAGTGTGACTGGGGAAATGGAGCAATATTTTTGTTTAATTTTCATTATTTTGAGTTTAAGTAGCCACATGGCCAGTGGCTGGCGTTGGACAGCACAGTTGCAGGCTCTGCGTCAGCGAGGCCACACTGGCCTTATGGGCACTCCCCCAGCTGCCCCTTCCTGTTACCCGGTTTTGTTTTCTGCACACCACTCATCGCCTGGCTGTTTTAATCAGTCTCCTCACTAGAATACAAGCGGCACGAGGGCTTCGCTTCTGCGTTTGATCACCCAGAACAGGCCAGGCACTGAGCTCTGTGCAGTAAATGAAATGTGCTCCAAGAGGATGGGCTCTCGGGGCCAGCAGCAGAGAGCAGAGTGCAAAGGGCATTGTCTTGTCCCTGCGCTTTCCCAAGATGGACATACTGTCTTGTCGGAAATACTCGAGGCTGACTTGTGAGTGCGTCACAAGGACACACCTCTCATTTTCAACATCAGGCGAGAACCACTGTCCCTGGTCAACCTGCGGAAGAGGAACCTGGACTCTGGAGAAGAAGAACTGGCATCCAGGCTGGACCACTGCAAAGCCAAGGCCACGCGACACATCTTCCTCATCAGGCACTCCCAGTACCATGTGGATGCCTCCCTGGAAAAGGACCGCACTCTGACGCCCCTGGGTACGTGCTGGGGCTCAAGCCCCAACTGACACCCATCCTTTTGGACCTATGTCAGGGGCTTGGCCTAGATTCAAGAATTGTCATTAACGGGCGCCTGGGTGGCTCAGTTGGTTGAGCGACTGCCTTCGGCTCAGGTCATGATCCTGGAGTCCCGGGATCGAGTCCCGCATCGGGCTTCCTGCTCGGCGGGGAGTCTGCTTCTCCCTCTGACCCTCTTCCCTCTCATGCTCTCTGTCTCTCATTCTCTCTCTCAAATAAATAAAAAATCTTTAAAAAAAATCTAAAAAAGAATTGTCATTAACAGTGATCATCAGCCTAACTGACACAAGACAGGCATTGAAAACATCCTCAACTTTAAAAAAATATATGGTGGATCTCGCAGGTGATCAGATCCAAAGCACAGCAGAGGTGTTCTGTACTCATGCTCTGCAAGTGGCGTACCGTGTATACCCTGTTTGGCTCGACCTAACCTGTTGCTGAAGATCCTTCTGTTCAGCAGCTGCAGATCTGTTTAAAGTCGGCTTCATAAGGGTAAACAGACGAGATTGAGTGATAGCAGCTCTCACATCCCCCTGGCAGAAGTGCTGCTTATCGCGGAGTCCTGCCACCATGCGCAGCGCTGCTGGGCACGCACGTCCGCCGTGGTCTTCGTGCTGGCGTGCCAAGCACATCCGTGGAAGAAATTCCTAGGAGAGGAAGCACAGGGTGGTCTGAGATAGAGTTTAAGTTTGTAAAGATTTCTTTGTTGGACAGGATATGACCCACTTGTGCACGTACTAAAAAATTCAGATGGTATAAAGGGTTTAGCAGCCTGTTCTCCAGCCTGCTGTGCCGCATGAGCAGTGAAGCCACGTCCAAGGTGCTACCGCATGCAGCTGAAACTGACTTGCTGAGGGCATTTTCAACCAGATTCTAAGATACATATTTGAGAAAAAAGATCTGTGTTTGCACGCAGTCTGTACTTAGTAATGCTGAGGCCGTTGGGTCTTTACGTGTTGGTATCTCTGATGATTGCACAGCTGGTAGGTCAGTGGCACTTTGCAACTCAATCTTTGGACAAAATTGAGTAAAAGTGGCATGAAGGACCCAGAAGTAGTAACAGGACCCTACCCAGACTTCAGTGATCCTCAACCTTGGTCACTGTTTAACATTTCTTCTGTATGGGGCTGAGGGTAACTGCATTATCTCATGGATTTTACCTGTTGACTGCCTGGCCCCCCGGTTAGGCCCAAGCCCCAAGGAGGGCCTGCCCACCTTGTCCCCCAGCCCTAATGGTACTTGGGTAACGACTGGAGTATTTGTGAAGTAAACAAAAGAGGAACTCCAGCAACATGTAATTCTCTGGTGTTTTTCATTTTCAAGGTCGCGAACAGGCTGAACTAACTGGGCTCCGACTTGCAAGCTTGGGGTTGAAGTTTAATAAAATTGTCCATTCGTCCATGACCCGTGCAATAGAAACCACTGATATCATCAGCAAACACCTGCCAGGTGAGTGCCGGGCATCCCCAGGTCCCTGGGCAGCAGGATTTCAGCAGAGGGCCCTGGGCAGCTTCTCCTGAAGGAGCAGCACTGAGTCATTGCTTCTCCTGCAGGTGTCTGCAAGGTCAGCACAGACCTGCTAAGAGAAGGCGCCCCCATCGAGCCTGACCCACCTGTGTCCCACTGGAAACCGGAGGCTGTGGTAAAACCCCTACTCCCCCAGGGAGCATCCCCCACCCCGCTCCCGTTGGCCCACTCTCCCCATATCCCTCCACCTGTGGCCTGCATGCTGCCTCCATACTTAAGGTTCCTTACCCTGCCCCCAGCAGTATTATGAAGATGGAGCCCGGATCGAGGCTGCCTTCCGGAACTACATCCACCGGGCAGATGCTAAGCAGCAGGAGGACAGTTACGAGATCTTCATCTGCCATGCCAATGTCATCCGCTACATTGTGTGCCGGTGAGGGGTGACACATGGCTCCCTGGCCCACCTTCCCTCCTGCCAGCCTCTGCCGGCTCATCTTTCGAGGAGGCCCTAGTCAGCCTCCTGGTAGAATGTCAGTTTGAAGTTTCTCATGATTATGCGTTGTTGGCGGGAACAACACAGATGCAGTCCAGGCGGGTTGGGGTGCCCCAAGTCAGTGGCACGTTCTGGGTGATGCTGACGTGGTCACTTGGTTAAGGCACTGTGTGCTGGACATCTCACACTGTCCAATCGTCTTTGCCCCCTTGGTGATTGGTAAGCGTCTTGGGAGACAGTGCAAATCCTCTTTCCCTGCAGTTTATACCAACTGAATTTAGCCCCTGTCGGTGGGTCTTGCCACAGCAGATACCGTGGTGGCGCTTGCCTAATGATGGTTTTGCCTTTCTCTCATTCTGTTCTCATTTGTTAATTGGAATTCTTCTATAAGCGCTCACTCTTACTCTCCGTTCATTTATTTGTAGGATTATGGATTTGGCACTGTGGGTTATAACCCATCACCGTGTTGGTCATGTTGCTGCTCTGGCTGTTGGGCCCCCAGAAGGAGGCTCCTGTGTCCTGTGTCCTCTGGACCTGCCTCACTTCCTGGCACTAATGCAGCTTCCAGAGCCTGCTGAGTGACACCTGCCCTGAGGTGCAGCCACGGGCCAGTGGGCCCTGGAGGCAGTTAGGCCAGCTGGGTGCTTATGTGTTTGACCAAAGCTCACTTGGTGCAAAATGTGAAATGACTGGAACCCCAGCCACCCTCTCGATCCATTAGAAAGTGTGTGTCAGGCATTTTAAGAGCTGAGGGATTTTCTCCTGTCGTGTGACGGTGCCTGACAGTGGCAGGACAGGGCACAGCCTGCCGGCTGGCCTGTGAAACCCTCCAAATCCAGGCTCAGGGTCCCTGCTCACCGTGCTTGACCCTTGAGCCTGTTGTCAGGGCTGGGGGGCGGGGGATGAAGGGAGGCCATTTCCCCTCCAGTGTCACATGCACGGCCTCTGGTGAGAAGCCCAGGACATCTGAGGCAGGGGGCGCAGGGATGCCAGGAGCCAGGCTTCTCAGCTTGCTCACAGGGCTCCAGGCCAGGTGGAGTGTGCTGCTGGGAAAGGGCTGGGCCTCAGACGGGGCTCCACACCCTCCAAACCAAAGCGCTCCGAGAAGGCACAGTCTCAGAGCTGCGGTGCTCATCCCATACTCTTCCCTGATAGCTGCTCTGGGTGTCTCTGCTCTGTGGAAACCCCATGTTAGAACACCCCCTGGGGCAGGCCGACCTGAGCAGCCACTAGAAGTGACCCCAATGCTGAAAACACCAGAAGTGTGCGGGGACTTGGAGTAGAGGTGACCTGTGTGCCATAAAGGGCTAGGAGCCGGAGCATCCCTGTCACGACACGTGAGGGCATTCTGGAAATTGTGAGGGAGACACATGGAGAAGACTCGGAAAAGCAGCATGAAGGTAGTTGTTGCCAAGGCCGCAGGGTGAGCCACGGGGATGCCCCTCATCCGTGGAGAGATTTAGGGCATGAAGGACGTCTGACGACTTGGGGAAGCCATGAGGATACTGGGCTTTTCAGCAACTATTGCACCTAGGAAGTGTGAGAGCAAGGAAGGCTCGGGTTGTGGGTGACACCACCCTGCTCCTAGGGGAGAAGGGGTCCGGAGCGGGTCCGTGGCACTGCCCCCGCGCCCTTTGGGTTACACTGGAAGTTCACGTGCACGCACTTGTAAGAAGCCATGGATTTCTGACTCACGTGCCCATCTTGAGTTGGGTCGATCCCCTGACCCAAAGGGGCTGGGCCGTCACCATGCCCCTTATTTGATTTGATGGGATGGCATCAGCCCAGCAGCTCCTTTCTGAGAAGCCCCCTGCTTGAAAATAGGAGACAGACTTACCTACATGGGCCCCAGCCCCAAGAAAGTCTGCTCCGAGACCTTAACTGAGGTTGGGGGCTGTTAGCGTTGCCCTGGCCCCAGCCTGTTTTGGGGACAGAGCCCCGTTCTAGCATGTTCTTTTCCTTCCAGGGCGCTGCAGTTCCCTCCAGAAGGCTGGCTCCGCCTGTCTCTCAACAACGGCAGCATCACCCACCTGGTGGTCCGGCCAGATGGCCGAGTGGCGCTCAGGACCCTCGGGGACACGGGGTTCATGCCTCCGGACAAGATCTCCCGCTCCTGAGGGCTGCCTGGAGGCCCCGCTCTCCTCAGTCCCCCCGTGGCTCCCGTGGGTGCTGCCAAGGACACGGCTCCTTCCCTGTCTTCCCTCCACAGGCTGCACTGCGGTTCCATCACACTTCTCCAGGACGGCAGTGAAGAAGGACGAGAATATCCAAAATAACTAAAATGGGGCATTTCAGCCTGTACTTCCGGCCCGGGATGGAAAAGGGCGTTGTTCCGAGCGGATGGGCCTGATTTCTCTCTTGGGGTTTTCTGCCTTGTCTCCCGGGACGAGGCCTCACTCATGTCTGTGGGGACCGCGGTCAGTCCCCACGAGCGTCTTTGGTCGGGACCACAGTTGGCCACACGAGCCCCTCAAGGCTCCAAGGAGGGGCCGCCAGGGCTTCCGTTCAGAACTTCTTGTTGTACATTCTTCTCCTTTCTTAAGACCCTTTTATCACTTAAATTTGTCAACTACAGATTCTCCTCATCTGGGTTCCTGCTTCGATAACCAGTTTCTCAGTCCAGGGCCCTGCGCCTCTGACGCTGCTGGGCCTTTCCCAACACCAGCCGCACCTTGGCGGGCGAGGGAGGTGCTGGATGGTGACCGGACAGCCGGGCGTCCTCTTCGGTCTTTGCCTCTGGCCATTAATCCTCTCTGCTTACGGATTAAACTCCTTAGATGTGATATGTCCATCCCAAATATTCTGTTAATTTAGGAGAAACTACAATTTTTATGAAGTGGTTATGAACATTTTCTGCAATCAGTGCAACTAATTGGGACATTTGATCCATTTCTCTGTAACTTTGGAAATAACTGCAAAATAAAAATTTTATTTTACTGATTTCTCAAAGTACTGATTGTGAATGTTTTCAAGAAAACAGAAACCCGTGCCGCGCAACAGACAGCAGCCCCAGACCTGCTGGAACAGTTGCAGTGGCAGAACGCTCTTTTCCGTGGTCTTCTGTGTTCTCAGGGCTGATGGCTTCACCAGGCGCCCGCTCACCAGGGGCCAAGGCCCGGACCCAGGACAGTGAGCTAGACAAATGGCTTTCCACCGGCACCAACCATGCACCACTTTCTAGACAGTTTTGACAAGCGAGCCAGGGGCTGTGCCAACTTCTCAAAGCACAGAAGTAGGCAGCACACCTCTGACCTCAGGTGGGAAGGAGGCCCAAGAAGGGCAAGGGCCACACAGGTGTCCCACCCTGAGCCTGAGCCTGAGCCCGGACCCGGGGACCCACACGCCTGAAGGTGGAGGTGGCAGGCACCCCTTTCCTCAAGGGGTTTGTGCAGCTGCCTCTGCACTGTCTTCAGATCTGCCTTTTTCTTCAGATTTTTTTTTTTGAGAGAGAGCACATGAGTGGGGGGAGGGGCAGAGGGAGAAGCAGACTCGCCGCGGAGCAGGGAGCCCGATGCGGGACTCGATCCCGGGACCTTGGGATGATGACCTGAGCCGAAGGCAGACGCTTCACCGACTGAGCCCCCCCGGCGGCCCTTCAGATCTGCCTTTATGGCAGCATTTCACTTGACCTTTGAGAAGCAGGGCAGCATTTTGGAAACTGAAAATGAGCCCACATGGGGGGTTGCAGCCGAGGAGCAAGAGGTGGGTGTTGGCATGGGGTCACGGGCCCACTGAGGTCAAGATGGAGACTTCCCTGAGGTGGGAGAGACGACCGAAGACTTCTGAGATGTCAGCAACCCTGAGTTTGGCCAAAGTGAAGCCTGCAAATCAGGGACCTGTGTCACATGAGGGACCGGAACTGACGTCAGTGGGAACAGAGCAGTTGGTTCCTATGATGTTGTGCTGTTTATTCCAAAATATTTTCTTCGGAGATAGGAAAGGAGCATGAGTGCAATCTGCAAACCAGAAAATCCTTACAAGTTTGGTGCACAAATGCAAAACATCAGACGAGGAAAACTGTGTGCCTTGAACAGCCCGGCAAGCAGACCCAGCGCAGGGCGACAGGGCAGTGAGCGGTGGCATCCGAAGCCACAGCCTGTCAAGGCCGTAATCCCACAGGCGGCCAAGCCGTGAACGGGGCTGCAAACACCCCACAATTATTCAAGAGGATTTGTCTGTGGTCCTTGCTGTTCAGGAGGAAGGTCCTCAGAAAGATGTGCCTGCCAGTTGACCCAGGATCCTCCCATCCTTGGATGTGGGTTCTGCTCACCTGTCTGGGCCCAGAGGCTGCTCCAAGGACATGGCCTTGAGGTGGTGAGCTGGGGCTGAGCCAGGAAGGGCTTCTATATAAACTCTTCAGACTGGGAGTGTGGATGCAGGGATCTGTTCATCTTGCCACCCAAGACGAGCCTCGTATGTAAGTTCTTCTTATGAAACCTGCCACCTCCCAAGCTGGCGTGGCCTGGCCCTTTCTTTGGTCTTTCCCTGCCCTCTGCATACAGGGACCAGGTTCAGCTCCCACTGGGGAGACTTCCAAGACAGCTGCAAACGAACACTTGCCCCATGGGGTGGGCACTCACCCTACAACGCCTTGGTGGCGGCCGTCCCCAGGCAAGGACTGGAGAGCTTTCCTGCGTGCCTTGTGGCTGGTGCCGCAGCACCACCTCACTGTGGCCGAGTGTTCGCCTCTTCTGAACTGAAGAAGTAACATCACAAGAAAGGTTTCTCATTTCCAAGGGCAATTATGAAATTTGGTGCTAGCTTAACTGAAAGTTCAAGTTTTTCACAACCATGTTAGGAAAGAAAAGGGCCAAAAAACCAGCAAATTCACCAGTCAGATTAACATACTGTTTCATTACAACACTAAAGATTTTTTTTTTGAAGATTTTATTTATTTGAGAGAGAGAGAATGAGAGATAGAGAGCTCGAGAGGGAAGAGGGTCCGAGGGAGAAGCAGACTCCCCGCGGAGCAGGGAGCCCGATGCGGGACTCGATCCCGGGACTCCAGGACCATGACCTGAGCCAAAGGCAGTCGCTCAACCGACTGAGCCACCCAGGCGCCCCACACTAAAGATTTTACTAAAAACGGCATTTTGCCTAGGCACCGAGAGCAGTCTTTCTGAAAGCTTAGAATTATTACCACATGGTTTTAATAATTTATTTTATGAAGTATCTTAAAAAAGAATGCAAAATCACCTTAAGACACGTGATAATGCATTCGCTGGGGCCAGGGCCACCTTATATAAACAAATGGAGTAACAGGCAAAGATAACCTAACCTTCAGAATACAAGAACCACAGTCTGCAAAATTTGGACAGAAACACTTTTAATTTCCATCTGAATATTTACAACAACGGAACAGGATTTTACAGAAAACAGTGAACGTACTATCTGTATTCTAATTTCTTTTGAGAACAAAGATGCCTTTTATAAATGCCACTGACTTTTAGAATAGAATGTATTTTTCTGTTACATCCAGATCATTACACAAGTAAAAACACCCTGGGTAACCACCTTTTAAATTTTAAAATCTAAATCTTGATTCCAATATTCCTGACCTGTCTCTTCTTAGCACATGAAAGAAATAAATTTTTTTTAAACACAAGTTCCGATTCAGAATTTTTATAAACAACAAAAATCTCACGCCTACTTAGTATCACTATACATTCGCAAAAAGCAAGTTTCAGGAAAATAAAAAATGATTTACAAAAGGCACTGAATTTAGCAAAAATTGGTAGAGCTTTTCATTTTGGATCAAACACTGGAAATGTTCACAGAGCACCGGAGAGAAGTTAGCCCTCAACTCAGGTGTGTAGTTTTGGGTATCAATCGCGGCAGTGGTTCTAAGGTGACCCCCATGCTCCAGGCAGACCCCCCCCACAGAAGGTCATGGCCAAGAGGAAGCTAAAATAAATGCAGTAAGGTAACTGACCAGAACTCAAAGATAAATCTCTAGTTTCTGTACTAAAACACAACACTCTTTTATAAAGGAAATCCAAAGGAAGTGAATTTGGAAATAGGCAATAAATCTCAAAGCCAGAGAACTTAAAAGATCATTTTATTGGCACTACCCCGGCAACTAAACGAAGTAACAAGAAGGGCAGGTTCCTTAGGGCTGCTGGTCTGTCAAGGGCTGGGACCATTCCCAGGACTCCCATATGGACCAGAGGATTTATTCCTCAGAGAAAAGCTAGTTTTATCTTCTGGACACTAGTTTAAATGTTTGTAATGACCCAAACTTGCAAGTGTAAGTCATTTCCAGGTTCGTTTACTCCCAGACATCCACCTTATTAACTGGTCGAACCCACTGGGACCGACTGGCAAAACAAAGATTTTCCATCAGGAACTAAAAAGTCAGAGACCCTTCCCAGAAAAGGAAGATGGCACTAAATTCATCTTTGTTGTTAAGAACGGAGTTGAAGCAAGTGCAGCTACTGGCAGCCCAGCTCCGGCATTCACCTGGGTTTCTGGAGCACACACAATGGGAATGGCATCTTACGCTTGGGAGTGGCGAACTTAAGTCCACATCGTCACACACTGACAATTTTCAGAAAGTTTGCAACTGGATTTGCTTCCATCAACTTCTCCCAAAACACCAGAAAACTAAATTTTATACAAAACATTTGCATTTTCTAAAAATCTTCTACTCTCAAAATGAGGACTAATAAATTAATCAGAATATATTCTTTTTGGTAAATTTTAGCATTAAACACATTACCCTTCTTCCTTTAAAAACAAAGACAATGGGACGCCCAGCAGCTTGCGCCAGCTCTACAAGGCTGTGAGCTGGGCCAGGCGCGCCATTCTGCGGAGGTGGCTCCCATTTGCAGGGCTATAGCGCCCAGGGCTGCCCAGGCCCGGGGAGTGGGGTGCGGGCCCAGGCTTCCCAGGGCTTCTCCCCGGGCTGCAGCTGTGGGGGCAACCAAGATCCAGCTGCTGAGACTCCAGCTTCCCTTTCAGCGCAGGACTTGGCCAACTGAGGAAACCAAGAAAGGTCTGTCAGCATCAACGGTGATACAGTCCCTGCACCCAAGCTCTGGCGGACCACCTGGTTCCAGAAGAGGTGCTGCGAACCTCAGAACCACGAGCCCTGAAGATTCACAGAACATAGATTTTCCACACGAGTCCCATGTGGCCCTGACCAGGGTTCCCAGCTGCTTCCATCCTGCACCCCCACCTCGTCAGCAGCACCCCCCTGCTTTCCACCCAACTGCACACCTCCTGCCTGTGCAGGGTGCCGCCAGCTGCGGCCACGGCGGGAGCTGCACGTCAGCCTGGCTAACCAGTGTTCCAGATGAACCACTACATGAAAACATGTGAATCACAACCGGACCATGTGGAAGCCAACTACCCACAAGCCCTGTATACGACAGGTTACCCCGCAGGACCACTGACCTCTGTCTGTCAGAGGGGGAGTAGCACAGGACGGCACTCTTCCACCTGTGGACAGCTGGGTACTGTTGAGGGTCCACGTCTGTACACTCCAGAGCTGCCAAAACATCTCGATCCAGTTTTGACGGCTCCTCTCTACAAGTCAGAAAAAAGGAAAGAAAAAGCAGGAACACTCGTGATTAAAAACACTTCCAACACCACTACTCAAGAGCCCAGCCCAGGAGCAGAAGGGCAAGTGTCCGTCTCTGTCACCAGCTGTCGGGGCCGTGGTGCAGGCTACGGAGGGACAGAGACCATGGTGGCGGACAGGACGCACTGTCCCACGGGGGGAGTGGTGGACCCAATACTGAGTGTCTCCACCTCCAGGGTCCCTGACCAGAAGGCTGACCCAGACGGCCCGTCCCCAGGGAGGCTGAGATGACCCCAGGATGGTCTTTCTTTCTAAAGCACACTGCGTTCTTGGTACAGTTCCAGTCGTTCTGCGGAGGACTACTTCCCCAGGGAGGAGAGCAAGACGTGAGGCTACGCTGGAAAGGAGAACACGTCTCCCAC